AGCCAAAAAAAAAAAATAAAAAGCAGATATATTTTATTTTTGTGATTCGTAGCCAAAAGAGCGAAAAACTAATGGAAATTCGGTGCAGTAACCGCGTTGCAATGGAAAAACGTGATTAGGGTTTATGTGCGAGCAACGTTTTGCATTGGAGTTTCGTATTCCGATAGCACGGCCGATACCCCCTCGCATCCGGAGTGGTTCTTCTCTGCTGTTGATATAAATTTTTTGTTTTCATTACGAAACCTCGGTCTGCCCGCAGGCAGGACACCGACACCGATCGGGACCAGGATTGGGATTAGGCAAACAGTGACCACATTCTAATTGCAATGGCCATGCACTCGTACATGCGGACGGGCCCCAGCCAGAGTCAGACTCAAGCGAGTAGCCAGGCGAGTCCGGACGAGATGAATGGCTTCCTCAAAGATAAGCAGGCCTGGGAGCACGCCATATCGCTGTACCAGGGACCGGATCCCCTCGATCATTGGTACAACTACATATGCTGGTACGAGAACCATGCGCACAGCGATCCGGAGCTCAAGTTCCGCGAGACCCTCGAGCGCTGTCTGACCGAGTACGAGCACAGCGAATACTACAGGCAGGACGCACGTATGGTGCGCCTGTGGCTCAAGTACATAGCCATGCAAACGGATCCGCTGCACTTCTATCAGGTGCTCTTTCAGCGGGGCTCTGGACGCCAAGTGGCCGCCTTCTATATTGGCTGGGCCAGCTACTATGAGTCGCGGGAGCAGTTCAAGGATGCCGAGGCTGTATTTAACCTGGCCTTCCAGGAGAAGGCCCAAAGCAATGCCGAGCTCCAACATGCGCACACCAAGTTTACCTACGCCCGATCATTGCATTATCAGCGACAACAGCAGCAGCAACAGCAGGCGCAGGTGCAGGCACAACAGCCGCAGCCGGATGCCTTGCAACAGCTGGCCAACTACGCCCAGCAGCTGCCGCAAAGCTATGCGCCACAACAACCACGTCCACAGCCGCCATATCAACAGCAGCACGCCTCTGTTTATCAGCAATATCCGCAACAGCAACAGCAGCAGCAGCCACAACAGCCGCCACCGCCACCTCCGGCTCATTCTCAGGAACAGGTGGCGGCCTATCAGACGCACTACCAGGATCAGCCGCGCTACGAACAGCAGCAGCAGCAGGTCCCTCCACCTGCCACAGCACATGTTCCTCCGCAGCAGCAGCAGCAGGCGGAGTATGCGCCTCAGGTTGGTATAAGAACTTGTCTCTTTTTCGTGAAAGATTCTCATGTGAATGCAATTTTAGGCGCACTTTCAACCACCCCAGGAGCAGGCTTTGCCACAGTCCCAGCCACAGCCACAGCAGCAGCAGCAGCCACAACCGCACCACCCACAGCCGCAGCCGCAGGAGCCACAGCAGCAGCATAATGGCAATGGGAATAGCGTGAATGCAGAAGCAGAAACTCCGTCTCCGTCGCCTGCCATCTCTGAAGTAGCCGGACTACGTTTGCCGCGCAATTTCCATCCGTATGGGCGGAATAATCATGAGACCTGGAAGCCAGCCCTCACGCTGGAGGAGCCCGACGATCCATCGCGTGTCTGTCATTATGCCAAGCAATTGGTTTATCCGCCAGGCGCTGGCATCGAGTACAGTCCCGAGGAGATACTCGCCCGCAAATACCAACAGATGCTGGAGGACAAGCAAAAGCCGACGGTGCAACAAGTGCAGCAGGAGCACCAGGAGCAGCAGACACTTTATGATTCCTACGAGTCGGAGGCTTCGTACTACATGACTGCCGTGGATGGAGCGCTCTACGGGAACAGAGGTAGCACCAGTGCGGCGGCAGACTCTGCAGATGAAAAAGTGGCCGAAGAGGAGGCAGGCGAGATTCCGGAAGAGGAGGAGGAAGCAGATGAAGACGAGGACGAAGGCGAGCAGGAGGAGGAGGAAGAAGAAGACTCCGAAGAGGAAGAGGAGGAGGATGACGAGGAAGAGGAGGACAACCAGACTGAAGGATACACCAATGGGGGAGTGCAGTTCAGTGCCCAGACAACCTTCGAACAGGAGAATCGCTCTATCAAGATCAAGTTCAAGAAGGAGCGCACGCTGGAGAGCAGCAGCACCTACAGTGCCTACACCATCGAGAATATCTACCACCAGCAGCATCCACAGCATCAGCAGCAGCAACACCAGCATCCACATCCACAACAGCCTCATGTGCCGCTGGAACCCCAGCCCGCCTGCTCTCCAATACCAGCAGCCACAGCCACATCGGGCATCCAGCGTCAGCGAAACGGAGGCCATCATTTCCATCCATATCTGCAAGTGCAGACATCGACGCCGAAGAGCGAGGCGAATGGCTATCGTCGGTCCCGCGCCAAGGTCAAGCGGAGCAAATTCCAGCCGGATCTATGCAGCAACAGCAACTCCTCCTCGGCAGCAGATGTGGCCGGAGTGGCCTCTGGAAATGCGGCATCGGCTTCGGCTGCTGCTGCTGTGAATGCAGGCACTGCCTCGGCCAGTGCCGCCCTGCCCATACACAATGCTACCTTCAATGACAATGCAAACTTCTCCTTCTCGAGCGCCACGGCCCTGGACAACTCCAACAGTTCGCTGGCCCTGGCTGTGGATCGCCTACACTTCCGCGACACCTCGCAGGCGAATGCCTCCGGGAACAAGACGCTGCAAACGCACAACAACAATAATTACAACACAAACAACAATGGCAACTCGACGGCGACACTGGCGGACTTTTCCACGTTCCAGGAGAATTCGTACTTTGCCACCCAGCACGACACCGAGGCGCAGGAGCGCCGTCGGTCGAAGGCCGTAGAGACCATAGCCCGGCATCTGGCCAAGGAGACAATCGATCCGTTCAACAGCGAGCTGTGTCGGGCCTTCCTCACCAAACTGAATTTTCCCGGCGACGATGACGACCATGCCAGCTACAAGATCGTACAAACGCCACTGCCAAAAATTTCCAATACGCGCACCCTGAACGTCCTCGAGGGGGTGCAGTTCAACATTGACAAGGAGGTGGGCCGTGGCTCCTTTGGCTCCGTGTACAAGGCCACCGACTCGCGGACAGGCAATGTGGTGGCCCTCAAGTACCAGAAGCCACCAAACACCTGGGAGATTTACATATGCGATCAGGTAAGGGAATACAAAAGCAAACCCATTTATGGATCACATAATTTCTGTTGTTTTTTTGTAGGTACTGAAACGCATCAAGGAGCCGGAGGTGCTGCCGGGACTGATGGACATTTCAACGGCGATAATTGCGCCGAATGCCAGCCTAATAGCCACAGAATTCTCGCCCTTTGGCTCCCTGCTGGACATCAACAACAAGATCCGTCAGGCCACCACCAAAGTGATGCACGAGTCCCTGGTCATGCATTTCACGGCGCAGATATGCAACATTGTCGATCATCTGCATCGCCAGCACATCGTCCATGCGGACATAAAGCCGGACAACTTTCTGCTGATGCGTGTGCCCAGCGTGGACAGCCCGTTGCCCTCGCTGCGACTCATAGATTTTGGTTGTGCGATCGACATGTCGCTCTTTCCCGATAGAGAGCACACAAAGTTCCGCAAGGTTGTGCAGACCGAAAGCTTCACCTGCATCGAGATGCAGGAGGGTCGCCCCTGGTCATACGAAACGGATCTCTTCTGCATTGCGGCCACCGTCCATGTGATGCTGTTCGGCGAGTATATGCAGCCGCAGAAGCGCGGCGCCACATGGGACATACGCCAGAAGCTGCCGCGCTACCTCAAGAAGCACGTCTGGTCGAAGTTCTTTGGCGAGCTGCTCAATATGCAGGCAGACAAGCTGCCCGCGCTGCGGGATATGCGCGACATCATCGAGGAAGAGTGCTATCGCATGGACTCGGAGCTCCAGAAGCAGATACGCACTCTCTCCAACATCCTGCATCGACGATAACCAACCATTCGCCGTTCCACTCTATTATATTAGTTTTATTTCTATTTCTACAAACATTTTCATTTAACCTTTTGACTCAAGTCAACCTTTGAAACACATGAAATAGGACATTTCCACAAACTGTTTAAAAAAGCTAAAAGCCGACCAGGGCAATTTCTGGCAGGCAACACACATTATATTGCTTAGGTTTAAAGTGTAATAACCCTCTATTTATTTTATTTCGATGCCAAAAACCAATCAAACGAACGCTAAACAAACATTCAGACTCTGTAAATATTTTAGCCACAAACTCGACCCAAAAGCCAAGACTTTTGAAATGAGTTTGTGAAAAACACAAAACTAATGAATATAAAGTGTAATTTTTTATGTATATGTACAGCAAACCTCAACAAGCGCAAATGTAAAAAGAAAATGAAGTAAGATAAAAAGCGATAAAAAACCCCACAATTATCAGATTGAATCGTTCGATCTACTGTACTATTGAGTAATATATAAAGAACTTTAAATGATAGTAAATAAATTGACGAAATGTTAACACAAAAACAAACTAAAACACACATGGATCGAAAGAGCTGATATGCTATTTTATACACCTGCAGATGGATTGTTTCTACGGATTCACAGACGAGGATATATGTATGTTGGGTTCGAAAAAGGTACAACCTTTTATCAGATGGTTTGGAGAAATGGGAATTGGAATATCGGCCCATGTCATGGTCCCGGAAACCCGATGTTGGATGAGTTGGAACTGAGTTTTCATTGAAATTAAATCTTTTTTACATAGTTAGTGCTGTTATTTCCAATCGATCCAATCAATCCATTGCAACTCAGTCCTCTTAGGTCCCTAAGGCGGTAGGGTCTACTTATGTTGTCTCTTTCGATTTCAGTGGATCCAAAGGAGATTACGGGTTAGTTTTGGTGATATCAAATCTGAAAAATATCAGGCCAGTCCCACACTTTCAAACTGGAATGGAAATGGCCCCACAGTCCTTCTGTCTTTATGGGCAGGTAAGGGAACCGGGAAAGCCCTACAAAAACACCACTCTGCTTACAATTATTAATCAAAATTTATTTGGCTTTTGTGAGTATACATACATATGTACTTTGTATGTGTTTATGTGCTCAGAACTGTGGCTGGAGGGAAGTGGCAACAGATTTTTTTGAGCAAAACATTTCGCGGCACACTGGACAACGCATGACTGGACCAGGAAAAATTTGACCCAAATAGTAAGACCTCTGTTTAACCAGATATTTTATGCAAGTCTTACAGAACGTGTGCTTGCAGGGCAATGCCAAGGGAACCACTATCGGACCACAGCAAATGGGGCAAACGTCTTCAGCGCTGCCCGTCTTAGTTTCTTCCTCAACTTCAGCTGGCTTGTCCTTCTTATTGGTCGCCATATTTTTTAGTAGATTACGGCTGAAATCAAACCTTTTTTCAAACAACATTCTTTTTATTTTGTCCACTCATTTTCTTACCAAAACTAACTATTTTCTTGCCAGCTGTTCTGAGAATTTTCTCGAAGCTACGAAGTGTTGAATATAAAAAGTGTTGCTCAACGTCAAAATGAGGCGGAGTGTGGTGAAAATCTGTTCTGACGCTTAAGAGTCCGTATTGTGTATGTATTAGGAGTCGTGTTTTGGTTTTGTTTGACTTTTAGCGTAGAGGAGCAGAGGACCGGTGCGAAATATAGTACGGCACAATGGACAGGCGCTTCGAGTTTCATTTTCAGCTCTACCCGAGATGGTTGGACCTTCATTTTCAGCTCTCGAATTGACCGAAAATTCGAGACATTCCGTACAAAAGGAGTGCCCGCAGGGCAGTTTGAAAGGATTTAAAATCTCCAGAATACAAATTACACAATCTTCAACATCGTTGGCCGACCCTGTCGGTTTTGGGGTCTTCTTAGCGGCTGGTGGGGTTTTTTTCTTTCTCGGCATCACGGCTGAAAACAAATTTAAAATTTAAAGTTTATTTTGTATTCCGCACAGATTTTGTTACCGGCTTCCACTTTTTTCTATTTTCAATAGTGACTGACTCGTTTCACAATTCTCCCGAAACTGTTAAAGATAAAGTAGTGTTGAGGCGACTTCAAGTATCCATTTGCACTAGTGTTGGGTAAACATTTGCTCATTTTGGTGAACATGTTCACTTGTTCTTTTTTAGTAAGTGAGTCAACTCACTCATATTGCTCACTTGCTCTCTTAGATTGCTCAGTTACTCACTTGCTCACTTGCTCACGTAGTTGTTCACTATTCATGCACAGATGGTTCCAAATTTCAATATACTATCGAATTAGCGACATACTGAATTTTTGAAAGAGTAAACAGCTTTGCCGGTAATACAAAAAGTGTAAAGTAAACGCAAATATGAGCAACCGCTGCCAGATCGCAATATGCCCTTTGAGGAGCAAAATGGCGCAAAAAGTGAGTAGAGAACAAGTGAACAACAAAGAACAAGTGAGCAAAAAAGAACAAGTGAAAAACAAAGAACAAGTGAACTAAAAAGAACAGCTTGGAAGGAACATGTTCAGTTGCTCACTTAAGTGAACAACTCTTTTTTGTTCACTCACTCATGATCAACACAACACTAATTTGCACTGCAGCATTTGATATGTGTAACACAGTAACACAGCCTCAAGCTGCCAGGCTTCAGCTGTTAGATCAACACAGTGCAGAACTTCACAACACTGTTTATTTTCAACACTTCGATACTTGTCAGGAAAATTGTTGGAATCGGTAAGAAAATTAATTCAAAAAAGTTTTACCTCCGATTTTATATCCTTATTTATTCCACCAGACTTCCGGCGAGGTGGTCAGCTCCAACCAGGAGGGGAGGTGACTCCATCATCTGAGGCGCGGCTCTGTTCCTCGTCCCGAGGAACCAATTTCAAGGGTAACCAGCCACATCCGCCACAACCTCCATGTTTGATTTGGTCAAACTGGAAGGCTCGAAACACTGCGCCACGTCTTTTCCCAGTGTCCCTGATTCAAGAAGATCATCATAATCAACTGGTGTTTCCTGGTGCTAGGCCAGGAAAATGATCAATGCTTTGCAATCTGGCCATTCCATACACGATCATCAGGGGCACAGGAAGGTGGCGCGGCATCAATCGAATGGCGGAGAGGATGAAGAGCGATATGTTGCGCCTGCAGGACACTCCACGACAAGGAGCATCGGACGATGAAGCGCAAATGCGAGCAGTCTCAGTCCACCAACAGACTGCGATCCGGCGATTTTAGTCTCTTTCTGGTGGACGTCTGGAGCACAGTCTGAAGCCCCCAATGGAGCAATCGGGCAGCGAAGGTCTGCCTCAACAACCGGGACAACCGCCTCCGCTGCCTTACTAAAATCAGCAAGAAGACGCACTCAAAGCCCTAGTCCAGCAGGAGCCCTCCAGAAGGAGTAGCGGATGCAGTCCGACCTCGAGAAGGTAAGCCACGAGGCTTTCCCAGTGGATGCCAAAGATCACCTTAAGTCCAAATATCCAATTGGTATTCCAAAATCCAGATAAGAATATTCAAATACAAATAGTTACTTGAGTGCTAATGTAAATAATCTTTCCTCACACGTGTAGGAAGCGGAGAGCAGCGACAAGAACGGTTCAATAGAAATACTGGAAGTACTACCGGAAAAGGAGATTCAAATGCCGCGGGAATCTGATAAACGACCAACTTAACATCCATCTTGACCGATCTCGAAAGGAACTTCTTCCTGTTGAACCCACTCAACGTGGCCGGTGAGTATGACCTGGTTGTCATTCAACGCGTCTTGACGGATCATTTCTAAAACACTTTCTTTAGCAGGCCACTCAGCATGGACTGATGGACTGATGGTAGGAGTTTGGTCCGAATCCAAAGCGTTTACCACGTTCTAGGCCTGGGGACAGAAGACACGTGTTGATTCTGATGGTTTTCATGGATCAGTCCTCGCTGGAAGAAGTACTGGCGCAGCGTTCCGATCCAGCCAGACTGAACATATTGAACATGGGGGGGCTGCGCGTTTATGGCTCCGGCACTTAAATACGTATGTGTACATATGTACATATGTCTTGACAATTAAGTTGGTCAAATGCAAGTGGCTTAAACGGATTAAACGATTTCCCCAAGTAGAAATAATTTTTTTGATAAATGCAATTTTTAAGGAAACTATCATTTTACTAAAATATCTTTCCTTCTTTGAACATATATTTTTTGGTAATTCAAAGCAGTAAAAGTTGTGTTTTGTATACCTATGTATGTAGTACTCGAAACAGGAAATATATTCAGTCTGGGTTTATTATTTATTATTATAGAAAGATTCTTTATTATTAAATATTTCAAGAAACAATTTCCAATTATTTTCATAAAACTACATAGTACATAGTAGCAATTGTGAAACACAGTAACACAGCCACAAGCTGCCAGGCTTCAGCTGTTAGATCAACACAGTACAGAACTTCACAACACTGTTTATTTTCAACACTTCGATACTTGTCAGGAAAATTGTTGGAATCGGTAAGAAAATTAATTCACAAAAGTTTTACCTCCTATTTTATATCCTTATTTATTCCACCAGACTTCCGGCGAGGTGGTCAGCTCCAACCAGGAGGGGAGGTGACTCGATCATCTGAGGCGCGGCTCTGTTCCTCGTCCCGAGGAACCAATTTCAAGGGTAACCAGCCACATCCGCCACAACCTCCATGTTAAATTTGGTCACACTAGAAGGCTCGAAACACTGCGCCACGTCTTTTCCCAGTGTCCCTGATTCAAGAAGATCATCATCATCAACTGGTGTTTCCTGGTGCTAGGCCTGGAAATTGATCAATGCTTTGCAATCTGGCCATTCCATACACGATCATCAGGGGCACAGGAAGGTGGCGCGGCATCAATCGAATGGCGGAGAGGATGAAGAGCGACATGTTGCGCCTGCAGGACCCTCCACGACAAGCAGCATCGAACGATGAAGCGCAAATGCGAGCAGTCTCAGTCCACCAACAGACAGCGATCCGGATTTAAGTCTCTTTCTGGTGGACGTCTGGAGCACAGTCTGAACCCCCCAATGGAGGATCGGGCAGCGACTACCGCCCAATTTAGTTGACTAGCCGATCTCCAGCAGAAGGTCTGCCTCAACAACCGGGACAACCGCCTCCGCTGCCTTACTAAAATCAGCAAGAAGACGCATTCAAAGCCCTAGTCGAGCAGGAGCCTTCCAGAAGGAGTAGCGGATGCAGTCCGACCTCGAGAAGGCCCAGAAATATGTTCGCGGGAAAAGGAGATGCAAATGCCGCAGGGACTGCCATCTCCACTGGCAATGCCGGTGGCGAAAGTGGCAACTGCCGCGGCTTATGCCGCGGGAATCTGATTAACGACCAACTTAACATCCATCTTGACCGATCTCGAAAGGAACTTCTTCCTGTTGAACCCACTCGACGTGGCCGGTGAGTATGACCTGGCTGTCATTCAACACGTCTCGACGGATCATTTCTAAAACACATTCTTTAGCAGGCCACTCTTCATGTTCCGTTGGTCACTAGCTAAAAGTGGCTTGTTTTTCATTGGAAGAAGCATCAGCATGGACTGATGGACTGATGGACTGATGGTAGGAGTTTGGTCCGAATCCAAAGCGTTGACCACGTTCTAGGCCTGGGGACAGAAGACACTTGTTGATGTTGATGGTGTTCCTGGATCAGTCCTCGCTGGAAGAAGTACTGGCGCATCGTTCCGATCCAGCCAGATTGAACATATTGAACATGGGGGGGCTGCGCGTTTATGGCTCCGGCTCCTTCTACACCTACAACTACTATGTTTCACTCGGCAGATACCTAAAAGGCATAAAAGTGTGTGAAAGGACTGCAAATGTTTCGTTTCCTTCTTTGTGCGTCTCCAAATTAGAATACCCGTGTGCCTGTGCCTGAGCCTGTACCAGTGCCTGGGCCGCCAGGGTATGAAAAAGGAAAGCAGCTTTAACCCAATTTCATAAATCAAATGCCACAGCAAAACTCTGTGGGCTCTGTGGCAGTCAATTGTCAATTAAGTGGGGTGGCATGCAACAAGTAACAGCAGCGGCAGCAGCAGCAGCAGCAACACAGCGACAGCATCGCATCTAACGACGAGTGCAACAATGGTGCGCTTGACCCACTTTTCCTTTTTGCCAGTCAGAGCCAAACGGCAAACAATTTCCACCAAGCGACTGGAAAAAGTTGCAGCTAGCTTTTCATGCAACACACACAGAGAGAGAGAGAGAGAGAGAGAGAGAGATGCAACAAGCACAAGCAAAGTCAAAGTCGACGCCTGCGCCGCTGCCTGTTGCCTGCTGCGCCTGTCGCTTGTTGCTCGTTGCTTGTTGCATTTGCCGCACGTTGGCCAAGTGAAAGTAAAGTGGGACAAATGCAATTATTATTGCATCTAGTAACCGACTTAGAAGTCGTGGCAGCCAGCTCCAAAGCCAGCCAGCAGTTGGAAAGTTGCGCTGCCAGCGTCACTGCCACAACACTGGCACGGCTTTGGCTTTTACACAATATTTTTATTTAATCAAATTGCAAAGAGAAAATTGCAGCAAATGCAGTGCGAAACGAAGAAAAACTTTCTATTTTTTGTGTGCCGATTGCAGCTGCCACAAACACACACACACACACACAGATACACATTATGTGTATTTGTATGTATTTGGCGGATTGTTTTGCATGCGATAAATTAATGAATGGTGTCCCAGTTCGGGCTTTGGGCATTGAGTGACAAATGAAGTTGTCTCTTTCTCTATATCTGTATCTACGAGTGTGTCTGTATGTTTTGTTTTGCCGTGTGGCAGAGAGATGCCAAGCGAAGCGAATGACAATGCGGTGTTTATTAGATCACTGGGGCACGATCCACTGGGACGGGACTGGGACTGCGGCTACAGATCTCAATCGCCCATCGAAAAGTGGGCTGAACCCACAAACAAGCCAACAGAAAAAATATATAAAATAGAATTAGAAAGAGGGAAATATATAAAATAGAATTAGAAAGAGGGAATAAAATTAATAGATCATGATAAAAGCTATCTCGGGGGAGACACTTAACTTCTTTCCAATTAAAGGGGCTAGCGGTATACACTGGAAGAAAAGAAAAATATCAGTGTATATCATTAGAATGGCTTGAAAATAATATTAGCTAGAAATTAAATTAACTGAATACTAGTATTTACAATTAATTACATATTAAAGCAGATTTCATAAATTAATATCCTCGCTTTTTGACATTATTATATAAAAAAAAAATTAGAATCCTTAAAATCAAGGCTTTTTGGTCAACAAATATATTTTTTTTTCAGTGCACTTAATCTTAATCCCAGCTAAGGAGGAGAGTTTCTACAATTAATTGCACTTAAATACGTATGTATGTGTACATATGTATTACTTGACAATTAAGTTGGTCAAATGCAAGTGGCTTAAACGGATTTATTGGGATTAAACAATTTCACCAAGGAGAAATAATTTGTTTGATAAATGCAATTTTTAAGGAAACTCTATCATTTTACTAAAATATCTTTCTTTCTTTGAACATATATTTTTTGGTAATTCAAAGCAGTAAAAGCTATGTTTTGTATACCTATGTATGTAGTACTCGAAACAGGAAATATATTCAGTCTGGGTTTATTATTTATTATTATAGAAAGATTCTTTATTATTAAATATTTCAAGAAACAATTTCCAATTATTTTCATAAAACTACATAGTACATAGTTGCAATTGTGAAACACAGTAACACAGCCACAAGCTGCCAGGCTTCAGCTGTTAGATCAACACAGTACAGAACTTCACAACACTGTTTATTCTCAACACTTCGATACTTGTCAGGAAAATTGTTGGAATCGGTAAGAAAATTAATTCACAAAAGTTTTACCTCCGATTTTATATCCTTATTTATTCCACCAGACTTCCGGCGAGGTGGTCAGCTCCAACCAGGAGGGGAGGTGACTCGATCATCTGAGGCGCGGCTCTGTTCCCCGTCCCGAGGAACCAATTTCAAGGGTAACCAGCCACATCCGCCACAACCTCCATGTTTAATTTGGTCAAACTGGAAGGCTCGAAACACTGCGCCACGTCTTTTCCCAGTGTCCCTGATTCAAGAAAATCATCATCATCAACTGGTGTTTCCTGGTGCTAGGCCAGGAAAATGATCAATGCTTTGCAATCTGGCCATTCCATACACGATCATCAGGGGCACAGGAAGGTGGCGCGGCATCAATCGAATGGCGGAGAGGATGAAGAGCGATATGTTGCGCCTGCAGGACACTCGACGACAAGGAGCATCGGACGATGAAGCGCAAATGCGAGCAGTCTCAGTCCACCAACAGACTGCGATCCGGCGATTTTAGTCTCTTTCTGGTGGACGTCTGGAGCACAGTCTGAAGCCCCCAATGGAGCAATCGGGCAGCGAAGGTCTGCCTCAACAACCGGGACAACCGCCTCCGCTGCCTTACTAAAATCAGCAAGAAGACGCACTCAAAGCCCTAGTCCAGCAGGAGCCCTCCAGAAGGAGTAGCGGATGCAGTCCGACCTCGAGAAGGTAAGCCACGAGGCTTTCCCAGTGGATGCCAAAGATCACCTTAAGTCCAAATATCCAATTGGTATTCCAAAATCCAGATAAGAATATTCAAATACAAATAGTTACTTGAGTGCTAATGTAAATAATCTTTCCTCACACGTGTAGGAAGCGGAGAGCAGCGACAAGAACGGTTCAATAGAAATACTGGAAGTACTACCGGAAAAGGAGATTCAAATGCCGCGGGAATCTGATAAACGACCAACTTAACATCCATCTTGACCGATCTCGAAAGGAACTTCTTCCTGTTGAACCCACTCAACGTGGCAGGTGAGTATGACCTGGCTGTCATTCAACACGTCTCGACGGATCATTTCTAAAACACTTTCTTTAGCAGGCCACTCAGCATGGACTGATGGACTGATGGTAGGAGTTTGGTCCGAATCCAAAGCGTTTACCACGTTCTAGGCCTGGGGACAGAAGACACGTGTTGATTCTGATGGTTTTCATGGATCAGTCCTCGCTGGAAGAAGTACTGGCGCAGCGTTCCGATCCAGCCAGACTGAACATATTGAACATGGGGGGGCTGCGCGTTTATGGCTCCGGCACTTAAATACGTATGTGTACATATGTACATATGTCTTGACAATTAAGTTGGTCAAATGCAAGTGGCTTAAACGGATTAAACGATTTCCCCAAGTAGAAATAATTTTTTTGATAAATGCAATTTTTAAGGAAACTATCATTTTACTAAAATATCTTTCCTTCTTTGAACATATATTTTTTGGTAATTCAAAGCAGTAAAAGTTGTGTTTTGTATACCTATGTATGTAGTACTCGAAACAGGAAATATATTCAGTCTGGGTTTATTATTTATTATTATAGAAAGATTCTTTAACATTAAATATTTCAAGAAACAATTTCCAACTATTTTCATATAACTACAAAGTACATATGTATATTAGGTATATATTGTTAGGTCTCCTAAAGTGCTTCAATATATTTTCAGAAGTTAAATTTAAACATTAACATTAAATATTTTCGATCTACTATTTTTAGTCTTAAATACTACCAAGAGCAAATGCCTGCAAATATTTTATTTATTTTTTTTTTTTTTTTTTTTTTAGTACATACATATTTATTATTGTTAGTGGCTTAGGAAAGCTCTAAGTACTCCTTAATTTGTATAATTTCTGACAAATTCGTTGGGTGGATCCATCTTTTATATTACATTCCTTTTTTATTTATTTTTAAGTGTTTTAGAAAGCTTTAACTTATCGTAAATTTTTATAATTTTCTGACACATTCCTCATGTGCAAACCCATCTATGATGATGACTTTTTTCCATCCCATTGATTGCATTTCCCAAAAAGAACGTGTTCAAACTTTACATCTGTCTGCGGTACGTTAATGTCTGGGCCAAAAGCTGAAGACCCTGACTCATTTGGGAATTTAGGGTCGAGCCAGTCGGTTAGTCATCCAGTGACTAAGTGGAGTTCTTTGTGCCACGGGTCCCTCCAGTCCTTTCCACACCACTCGCTCTCCCCCCCGCCCCCCACTTTGCAGTGCCGTGTCAAGTGAGGAACCAATGGATGGCGAGGGTCGGTCTTTGGCTAGGGTTGAGTAGGGAGAGAGGGGACCCTAGGCTCACCTAAATTGCAGTTGCAGTTGCAGCAGGCGGAATGCATCAGTGCGCACACATAGATACACACCTATACCCAGAGAGATGCACTTCACACAGATACTCTCCCCTTGAATGTTGCACGTTGTTTGCCATTTGATTGTCATGACCAACTTTTCACTGCCGTTGGTTGCAAGCTTGTTTCTCATGTTGCCTGCCCCTTTTTTTGTTGTGGGCATGGCACTGGCTGTGGCTGTGGCTCCAGCTCTAGCTCTGGCGCTGGCTCTGGCTCTCTGGCTAATATGCAACAACATGCAACAACCACTGCTTTGCAAATTGCACGACAAAGCGAAAACTGGGAAAATAGTTAAGTAATTTGCAGTGGAAAGCAGTTTGGAGAAATTCGTTTTTCTTTCTTGCTCTTGCTAGATGGTTGCATGCTGCTGCTGTTGTTGCTGTTGCATTGTGGCACACATAATGCGCCCCACGATCCACATCCGTTTTGAGTTGCTGCTGCGGCACATCGCCTGTTTGCCTGTTGCCGCATTAGAAAGTTGCAACTGCAACTGTCATGGGCCGATGCTGCCACTGCCACTGCCACTGCTGCTGCTACAGCCACTGGCTCTGCTGCTGCAGCTTTTCTTTTTCCCACTCGCCAAATCGGGGCTAACGTGCAGCAGCAGCACCACTATGCAACAGCGTGC